TTGTTTGCAGACAACCCAACTATGGCTCAAGGGCATGAACTACAAATGGTCGACAAATGTCACAGAAAGCAGCATGAAGGTTGAGTTTCAGTTTCCGATTTCAGGAAACTCTGCAATCGAAGACCTCTGTGGGACTGGCCACCGTTGTAATGCGTCGGCTGTAAAGGCTGGCGGTAAACATAACTTTCAGTGTGTAACCACCACATTCCAGAACATAAAAAATATAAAAAATGGCTCTGCGTGATTTCGGTGGTCCTCTGAATTGAAAAGTTCGCCCATGTGGACTTCCGATTTCATTCGCACGGCTGGTACCTGGGGCAGTAAATTTTGAGCTGAGTGCTCAGCTAGGCTTTGCGTCATGAAAACTAAATCTAAAAAAGGCCTTTGAAATGGCTCCAGGTTTGGTAGCGTTGCAACGAGGAAAAGGGAATCGATGACAGCAAATGGACGAACGCCATAAAAAAAAAGAAATCTGCCAAGTAGCAAAGATTTTGAAAACCGTGAAACTCGAACTTTCCTCAAATAAAATGGACTCTTGCGTTGAATACTGCTATTACGTCCTGTCACTATTGTTGAACAAAATATGCAGTGAACGCAAGTGACAAGCAAGACTAATGGGCCAGGTTACATCGAGCGACTGTTAGATGGAGCTATTTCTATCCTTGGCGACATAAATTATTTGTAAAAGTATAGTATAGTGAGAGAAATGTGCTTTCTATACAAAATACCATGCGGAGGGGGTTGTGGCAACATAAAGTAGGCCATATAAAACGTAGCCGCTAAACCATATTCAAAATATTGGTTGTTATAACCTCTTAAATGCAATGCTATCGTGAAAGACGATCATTTGGAAACCAACGGCATAGAGAATGGTGGGTCTACTAACCGACTGTTATTAGTGTATGTAGGTACAATTATTATGGTTCCTAGCAATGATAACTTTCATTAAAAAGTCTCGAATATCATCAGAGTTCCCGAGCAAGGGTTTCAGTGAGGCACGGATATTGTCTAGTAATTTCGAAAACACATTTAAGCGATGCAAAACAGCAGTAGTACATATGCAGTTGATTCTTCTTGGCGCAGAAGTAATGCACGTAATTATGCAAGGCATGAATATTGTTCTATCCGTGGTGGCATTCTTCGTCATTGCTAGCTGGAGTAGGCATTTCATACGTCTCTTTCAACGTTAAAAATGTTCAGTATTCTATGAAGCTGGATTTTCATTACTTCTTGATTAAGAACGCTCTTTGATATGAAGCACGGTAGTGCACGTGCCTGTCTGTGTAACTATTTGTGTGTTTGTTTGTTTGTGTGTGTATGTTGTGTGTGTGTTGTAAAAATGAAAACACACAGGGAAGACTGACTGTGTTTTTGACTATTAGTGTGCATTCAAGATACGACAAAAAGCGGAATGTTATGGGATTCCGCGTGACTGTGAGAAGTGCATGGAAAGTGAAGCGGTTTTTTTACTGGATTCCTCGTCGTATAGTTTGATCCCGCGCGCATTTTAAATGCGAAGCATTTCTTGGCGTAGCAGGCACCTTTAGTATCTATCTGCGTAGATTTATTTGTACATATCTTAAGCGGCATTTCGTAACGTTTAAATGTTTACAACACTGTCACATTCCCTCCACATTCTTCGCATTACGTCGATTCGCAAGGTACGTGGGACCTGCCGAATCTTTTAATACCCACCTTCTGTTTAGGGTCAGTTAAATGATGTAAATGTCATAAACCAGGAAAGGCGTCCGGCCAGCGCGGAAAGCGCAGCACAGTCAGCGAAAGCTATAAGAGCGGCATAGAACCCGTTGTAAACTCTCTTGGGGCTACCAATACAAATACGCTTATGAGGTACCCACTACATTGTAAATCATATTTTGTCACGTTGGAAACACCCACTACGCCATCATTGGCCATTGCGAAGAAAAGGAAGGTACCCGCTATAAACTTGCAAGGCATTAGAGCACTTTGTTGAGGGAAGGGGGGGGGGGGCTAATGAGAATGAATATTTTGACTGAGCCCTCCGTAATTGGTTGAAAGCATAAAACATCGCACTCCTTACGCGTAATGTGTGACGTCTGGTTACGAAACTCACATTGTGCAACACCTGGCTGTTATTTTACTCTTCTACAACACTATATGTTAACACGCTGCCATCCCGAACTCTTTATAGGGTCCTTTTTTATGAAGTTTCGAGCACCGGCATGGCCTTGCGGTAGAATACTTTACTGCCTCAAAAAGTACCCAGGTTCGCATGACATTTCAACCTGTATATATTTCTTTATTCCATTCGATAGCCGTTACAGACACTGGGGGTGGCAGAGGCGGGAACAACTGTGCCAAAAACGGCCGTTGTTGTGATCTCATAACAACTTTTACTGTAAAAAAGGCTCCCGTATCCTTATTCAATAAGTAATCTGATTCCTTCTTGTCCCTAGCATGCGGCACACGAAGCACTAATGAAGAGGCTGCTGTTTATTTTATGTTTTCTCATGAAAGCGGAGAATGCGAACATGAGACAGGCCTCAGCGTGAGAATATTGTTCGTTTGTTATTTTATATGGATGTTTTGCTTAGTTTTGTGTTCAGCCAGACGTAAACAAAAAGCTTAGCAGCACCACTTTGATGTAGAAATGCGAGTAATTCAATCTCGTTCCAGTCTTTGAAGCCTTCATTGAGTTATGAAACATGAAACAATCGCCACGCAAGCATATTTTCGGTTACTTCGATCGTGCGCGCACTCATTCCTAGTGCGTTCAAAAATGAAATAGGATTTCACTTTTAGTATTGCAGGTCACGCAGTCATTTTAGTAAGCGTTAGAAACTTTGGAAAAAAGTATTACAATTTTTAAGACAGCCTCCACGCTCCTTTTTGTTTCCACATCTGTTATAGGCTTAAGACCGTTCCACGCGCTTTCCGCACAGCCGCAACGCACGTGCCACGACCCCTACCACACGCAAGCGGGCGACAAATAAGCCGATTGGCGACGCTCTTTTACCCTCCACAGCGTCGCCAATTGGCTTAATTGTCTACCGCTTGCGTGTGGTAGGGGTCCCGGCACGTGCGTTGCGGCTGTGCAGGAAGCGCGTGGAACGGCCCTTACTCCTCTGATCGCTTTGATGTCTGCCGGAGCCGTTGCTGCAGTCTCAAAAGTACGAGGCTAGAGAATGCATAGTTACACCACAAACAATCGTGCTTTGTAGCGACTATGACCGTTTAACAGCAGTCATCATAATAATAATAATGATCATCCTCAGCAGCCTGACCATGCCCGCTGTACATGGCAGAGGTCTCTCCAATGTTTCGCCAATCAACCCAGCCCTGTCCACTTACGCGTTTGCCTTCTCTTGCAATCCAGCCAGCGTTTATCCTGCCTACGTGCTACGAGCCCGGCCGTTGTGCGTTTCGTCTTCTTGATTTACTAAGCTACACTCAAAATATCAAACATTTAAAAGCAGTAAAAACTTTTACTTCAGAAGCTATTGTCCCAGCAGCTCTCACACCCGTCTAATGCCCACTAAACATCAGTTTGTTTTCAAGCTTTAGCGTGCACACCTTAATATTGTACCAGACTGCCCTACATTTGAGTGCTAGGCCCAAGATTAAGGTTTTTTTTTTGTTACGAAATGAAATATATTGAATACCGATGCCAATTCAGGCCATCTGCGCCGCCTTGCCTTTGAGTTGCGTTTCGTTTTGTTTTTGTTCTCTTTATATAGCTCAGCTTCATATGCTTAACTGGATTGAGCTGTCGCTTTCTTTTTTGCGAAAATCTCGACAGGCTAGGTATAAGGTAGTTTAAAATAAAAATAGCAAGAAAAACTGTATGAAGATAGTGGTAAGAAGCTCAATAGCTGTGTTAGTATCAGGTTAAGTAATTAATTCAGGGTGGGTGAGATGAGCGAGAATCGCCGAACCTCTTCACTTCCCTGCCGATGTACCCAATCACTCCATTTATAATGCACAAGACATTATAGAGCTTACATTGCATTACTTAGCCAGGGTGTCACCGCTTCACATTGCAGTTGATACTCGCGATTTTCAGTAGACTGCGCCAATGAATCAACCTAAGTATCTAAATTAAGCTCAGTGCGTGAGCCAGGAACTCGAGCATTAGCAGTGAAATTTACATGGCCACATAAGGTTTACCTGCTTTTACGTTAGTGACAGAAATGTTTTCTTGCCAGCCAGTTAATGCGCGGCCCGAGTATCGAGGCTTTGTAAAATAAACATTGCCACCATGAAATCGAATTAATACTTCCAACAGTCTTGTAGGCCTTCTGTACTTAACCTCGTTCCATACCCGCCTACATAATACGAAAAAAAAAACAGCTGCGAAAAATATCAGACAAGTATTTTCAGCTTCCCCGCAGGTCGATGATGGAAGTTAGCAAGACTATAGATATAGCGCGAGAACAAAACAACGGCACAGAGATAAGAAGGACACGAAGGACACGTCCTTCTTGTCTCTGTGTCGTCGTTTCGTTCTCGCGCTATGACTATTGTCATGTCATACCAACTAGACCAAGCTGCTACACTTCTAAGGAAGATGGCAAGTTGTCAGTCAGCATTGCAAGGCCTCAGCAGCATTTAAAAAAACACAACATAATTTTATTATTCATGAGCAATTTCAATTTATTATGAGCAAAGCTTCCAGAGCAGCTCGGTTCGCATGGGATTATTCGAACTTGTGGTGTCTTGCCAGAGCGATGAAAGGAAGTGTGTAAGTGCACTCTGAAAACGGAGGGGGAGATAGAGGGAAGAAAGGTGTGAGACCTAGCAAAAAAATCTATCAGAGCAATTCAAGTTTCAAGCCTGTAAATGCGCTCAGGAGGTGCGTACAGAAAAAAAGAACGAGACGCGCGTTACATAGATACAAAGTATCGGCCCAAAAGCGTCGACATGAGATGCATGCCGCAGTAACAGTTAAGCAGATAACAACGACGTATTCGCCGGGCAACCCCGTATTACGATACCATCATTCGTTGTGGCCAGCGCAGATGCGGTACGGCATTGCGGCGGTGTTCCAGGACAAGTCGTCCTGCAAGACGCTTCCGGCGAACGCCGGCAGGGGCACTCGCATCAGCAAGCCGCTGCGTGGGGTCATTACGGAGCGAGAGGCTGCGCTGGGCATACTGAGCCGCGAGGTGAAGCTGCTGCAGGAGGAGCGGGACCACCTGCAGGAACTGCTGCAGCACTCGCTTCAGGGCGTTGTGCCGCAGCACGCCGCGCACGTCTCCAAGGGCCTGCAACAACAGATCGAAGCGCTGAAGGCCGAGAATCAGAGGCTGCTGGACAGCTACAACGCCGAGAGGGTGAGTATTGGGCAGTTTTGGGCGATAGATACTTCAGAAGCAATCACAACAGTGCGGAGTGATAAAAAGAGGCTATAAGTGATCTGATCATAAGTTTTGTTCCTAAAGTATATGACTCCAACTGTTATTGTCAACGTAATCAAAATATTTTCTCTGCCGTTTAAAATTGTAAAAGTTTAGTTCTTTATTTTGTCTGGCTGCTTGCATATATTTTTTGTTGTTTGAATCTTGCTACAAGAAAATGCCTTCAGCACAGTTGCCGTGTGGCTGTTTGTGTTATGAAGAGGCGGTGGGACCTGTCATGCTGCCATTATGCAACTTTTATATTGCCGTGCTCGTTGTTTGAGTGTGTTGTGTATTTGCAGCAATAATGAATTCATATTCAAAATTTTCAATGTGTCGTAGCTACACAACACAAAAAACTTTGCTCTAAATAGTAGAGTTTAGATTTTGAAAAAACTCACAGTTGTGATATTCTTGAAAATGCCTTCTCTCTTTCCGTGATTTGATCTTTTGCTGGAGTAATGCGTTGTAGTGTCAACTATATCTAAGTAAGAAAAACAAAATATAAACACACGATGGCTGAGATTTTCAAACATCCTCCATTCTCAAATGAAGAAGAGCCTCTTTAGATTTCATGAGGATATTGAACTATCTTGATATCAAAGCGTAGCCGTCTGCGCAAACGTACGACATGGGACGGAGTTGCCGAATGAACTTCGCTGCAGGTTTTATGGCTATACGGCGTAATAAAAGAGTTAGAATGTAGGTACCAGGGAGCACTGTTTAAGTGAAAGCAGAAATTCACTGTGATGGAGACGTATCAGAGACCAGATTCTGCAAGAAAATAAACATGCTATTTGGAAGGTTCCTCTTTAGTAGCATTCAGAACAGTACCGGAAGCTTAACGTAACAAAAAAAAAAAGAGGACCCAGAGGAGTGGGCTTCAAAGCCTAAGGCTCGTAAAAGGGTTCACTGAGCATTCGGATATAATTGGGCCCGTTTCTCTTCTCTAAGGAATGTAAACAAGTTCAGCCATATTTCGTTGCCATAAGCGGAATCATGAGTAAAGCTAATGTACGAAGATATATAGAAAGCGTTGCCAGGTTTCATTGACAGAGTTTTTTCAGATTTTTTTGTTTGGTTTATCAATATAAAAAGAAGATGAGTACATGGCACTGGCGCTGTGCTCATTTCCTTCGCGCCACTCTATTTTCCTCTCAAGTCACAAGCCAACTCCCTCAACATAATATTTATTGGGGTCATAAATTTCAAGAGGTAAACAAAAATTTTGCACAACAGCTCCTTCGTTTCAAATTTCATTAGTGTTGGCCACAGGCAGTGCTATTTTTTTCTATTTTTTATGTTTGGCTGAAGGTCGCCATTATAGTAATGCCGACTACTACCATTTGGCTTTAAGCCCTAATGCATTTATATCTTCACATTTTCAAGAAGAAGACCAAAATAAAAAAATACAAGCGAGTGCTAACAACTAGCGTTCTTCAACATCAATTTAAGCGTAAATCTGGGAGTCTTTGTTGCACCACTGGTCGTTTTCTCGCGCGATGTTTTTACAAAAACAGCAAATGACATCGTCAGACACATTTTCCATATTAGAACTCTTGCTTCAAGTCTTTCATATCTTTTTTTTAATTCACGAATCCATGCTCTAATCACCAGGATGATTTGCTTTCTACTTGCCTCAACACAATACATGTGCTAGGGCATAATAAAAAAATGGCTCAAAGTGCGGCAAAACTGCAGAGGTGACAGTGCTCGCTTTCAGGGCTCGCGATCTTGAATACGCTTCAATGAACACAGAAAACTAAGCGCCATTGTGATGCGTGCAAAGAACTTGAATCAATTTAACCAAGTCGCATATGTAGTAGCACTAATGGACTTTTAAACTACGAGAAACAGGACACTCGGTAGAAACATTACTTCTGAACACCTGCAATGAAAGCAAAACTACACAGGCGTAAAAGTTTTATGTTAGTTCCACGACGTTTATATTTCAAACATGGTTGCTAATGGATTTGTAAGACGTAGCCCGTTTCTTAAATTTCGCAAAACGGCCCGATAAATCAATGACAGCGATCCTTTTATGCTAGCACGCCGAGTGATTTTTTTTTCTTTCTCTGAAAAAGAAATCACACGAGCCCATACTGCCATCGCCTAGACATCTTGGCGTTATTTTTTACCAGCCCTGCAAGCAAGTTCCTTCTCAGTTTGCTCTATTCTGTGTTATTTCAACGTGAGGTTAGCAATTGGAGGGTCTTGAATAAATTATTTCTTATTCTGCAATATTACAGAATCTTTACTGGCACCATTCGTAATCACAGGCTTCTAGGAGCCTTTCCTAGAATGGTCTGGATAGTGTAATTCTTCGCTTTTCTTCACGTGACTGAGCATAATCGTACCTGCAGAGATAAATAAGTGATTTGTGTATACGGCTTACATTGGCAAAAGAGTCGCAAGAAAATCGCCAACATCAATACTTTTCACAAGCTCGAACGGAAAGAAAGTCTAGATTTCGACAGTAACCTGTCATGCTTGACAAAATCAGCCATATAAAATATTTTATACGCTTCTTTTTCCGTCTAATTTTTCCTTCTGTACGTGTATTTCAAAAATGGATTGCGGGGTTCTTAATTTTTTTTCAATATGGGTATTTAAAATGCGGAACAATACCGGATAGTGTCTTTTACGCTTATAATCACCGCTTGTGATCAAGTTTCCAACCAATCTTTTATAACCAAATTTCACCTTTTTTTATTGTTCACATGTCAAGCACACTTTCCCGAACTTAAATGAGCACGGAGTGTAAAAAATATGCCTTACTGATTGTAGTTGCCCCAAAGTTGGCTTCTGTGTTTTACGCTAGGTGCACAATAAAGTGATGTGAAAGACGGCGCCACTCTAGTTGGGATTGCTGCACGGGGTTTACTAAAGCGTGAAAAATTTCGTTAGAAATAGGCACTCCTGGAATGAATTTGTCTGTACCTGTTATTGTGTGTTTTCGATCGTTATTCCTGTGTTTTACAATGCGAATGCATGCATGAATGTGCGAAATCACCCTAAAGAAACAAATCTTTTAACTAGCTAATCTGTATTATCTTTCTGTGTGGGACATATACGCAAATTAATCTAACACAAATATTAAAAAAAGAGCTGCGGTTTTTTTTTCTATGCCGTACCGAAATTCTCTAAATAATTCGTAATGTTCTTGCTCTATAAGACGTTCATAAACGGGGCGAAATGACCAGGACACAAGTAAGGAAAACACAGCGAACATGTGTTGTAGTATGCGTTTCGTTGTTCGTGTCCTATCCATACCACGCAGTCTAAGAACGTCTAACAACGACAGAGCAACTAGCTCACCAGAACGTTTTACCGAAGTATTTTTTTTATTCTGTGATTTCCCTATTTCAGAGTTTCTATAACATTCTATAAAACATAAAACTCTGCGTACTTCAAACACTTAGTGCTTAATCCTTTTCGAACTTGCTACGCATACGCTACGTACGTGGCCTTAAAGGAGCGGGCGCAGTATACCGTGTTCGCCTTTTTATAGTGGTTTACCTGCTTTAAGCCACGAAGTCATTATGGTAATCACATGTTATGACGCCCGATTTCAATGGGCGCTTGTGCTACGCATTATTACTGCAATATTATATGTTGCATTCTGAAGCATGTCTAGATAACGCGTGTGTTCGGTAAAACCCAGTTACTGTCATTTCATTTCCAAGCAGAGGAAGTTGTTTTCACAGTATTCACAAGCAGGCGCATGTGTGCGTGCGAGCATAATTTTGAAATGATGAACTGTATATGTGACATTTGATTGCTATATATCCATACATTAAAGCGAAAAAAAAAACACGTGTGGCCGTGTGGCAGAACATCCGCTTACGTCGCAAACTACCCGGGTACGATTCTCACTTGTACCCAAACTACCCGAGTTCGATACCCACACTTAGCCAGGATTTCTTTATTATTTATTTTATTGCATCGTTCTCGATTTTTCCGTCACGCATAAGATGATTTTTGCTCCCAACCAACGACGCCAACACCGAAATCGACACCGGCGCCAACGGCGGAATTTCCGCGAAACGATCTTTTAACGCTGTCGCGTTAAAAGTTCTGCTGCAGTAAATGTTCTGGAGCGGCAATGCACCGACTCATCAGAGGCAGGGATGGCCTCTAGAGCCGAATATATCAATAGATGACGCACTGCCATTGTTGTCTAGTGGCTAGGGTACTTGGCTGCTGATCCGCACGTTGCGGAATCGAATACCGGCTGCGGTGGCTGCATTTTCAATGCAGGCGAAAATTCTGTAGACCCGTCTGCTCAGAATTTGGTACACGTTAAAGAACCCCAGGTGGTCGAAATTTCCTGAATCCCTCCACTACGGCGTCTCTCATAATCATACGGTAGTTTTGGGACGCTGAAACCCGCGTGGCTAATTGAAGTAGATTAGTGGTTGGGGTTTTCTGTTTCGGGATTTATTATTTCAAGCCCCAGAGCCACCGTAACAGATTTCGCTGACTACTAGTTGGAATTTGTACCTCTAACAACGAAATGCTGAACCAGTTTTTTTTTACCAGTATTTTTGCTCCGGCCACATGATATTTGTTTGACAAATAGGCTCCTTCTTAACACGACAAGCTAGTCTTGCTTGGAAAGCTAGGGATATGCTTTATGTGGAATAATAATAATAATAATAATAATAATAATAATAATAATAATAATAATAATAATAATAATAATAATAATAATAATAATAATAATAATAATAATAATAATAATGTTATTGTTATTATTATGTAACATTACAACTGTGTTAATTCATGAGCAATATCTACCATAGCACATACCAATACAAGGCCACTTGTCTAAGCAATCTCTGATTGGAAGTATTTGAGTCACCGGCAAATGCTATAAGCTCCTCTTACCGAATGATTTCAGGACAACACTGAAATACTGAAAACGCAGGTGGAAGCTTTAACTTCCAACCCATGTTTACTGGCAGACACTTTGAGTAATCCTTTATGCGCAATCTTCAGTGGGGCTTTGTTAAATCTTGACTGTCACTGTAATCAGCCAGCGTGACAACTTCAATTTTTCTCATAAGCACAGTGTGCACAATCCCCCTTGTGGGTATGAGCCAAAATCTTTTTAGTCACAAAACAAAATGAAGCGTGGCAATTTTTCTGCGAAGGGCTGCATCACCTGACCATTTGAGAACCATTTTCTAAATCCATTAGTTAAATGTTAAACAAAAGTGTTTTTGGAATAAATGCACCCAGCCGGTCGATTGACTGCATTATTGACCAGATGTGACCGTACCAAGTGTCAAATAAACCAATAATGCCTTCGCAAAAAAATTTGCAGATTTGTGTGAATATTTACGTTCAGCCTCTGCGTGAAAAACCCACCTGAATCGTTATCCTCAAACAGCTTGTTGTTTGCACTCATGTAGCGTGCTAGATGCTGCAGTAATTGAAAAAAAAATGCTTTCATCATCCGACAACAAACGTCAACGACTTGTGCGTTGATATAAAACAGGCCTCGAAAGTATTTTTCGCGTGTACGATGCAATGTTACTGATTGTTGTGGCAGCAAACCGTGGTAGGGTGTCGACTGGTTTTCGTTGTCAAAACCATCGCAGTGGTTCCGTTAGTTTTGCCCTGCACTCCGCAATAACGTTACTTATTTGGGTTCACCGGGTGTGTGAATGCAAAACGTTATTAATATTCCTGAGGGGCATGACTCAGCGGGCAGCTCGCACGTAGCGGTGGTTCTGCTGCATCAATCGGCGTTTTCTGCCGTTGTTTTTAGCAAGCTGCAGCCATAAATAGAACACCGGAATTTTTTGGAATTAACAATCCCAGGCCTCAGTGACTAGCTCGGGCTGCGCGCCGTTTTTCTCTGCCACAGGGTCGCACCGTGGAGCCCTCCGTACGACCAATTAATTAAGTGCAGCGTTTGGCGAACATCCAACATATCTGCCCAATCATTCAGGTAATGTAGTATGGACTAACGTGATCATAATTTTCAGGTCTTCTTTTCTGAATTTTTCCTCTTTTTTCACATTTTTTTTATACTCCGAAGGGAGAATTGGGTGGGGGAGAAGGCAGCACTGTCACCTAAAAGATGACACGTTCGAAAAATGGTGAAACAGGTGCTGTAAATTCAGGCGACGTTTGGCCCCAAACCTTCATGAATGGGCACGCCTACTTCTTGAACAGCTTCGGGTTTCCTTGTTATACAGTGCTTCTTTCGCCTTGTTTATTTATAACGCCTTCACTGTATCAGAGTCTCAATGAGCCACGTTCTCCCCATTTGCCGAAACGACTCTCACCTCGGACAATCGCTCCGTCGGAGGAAAAAATACTTTTCGATTACTACCTACTTTGTGATGAATACTTCTCATCGAGTGATCTTACTGTGCTATGCTTTTTTTCGTAGCTCGCTGTTTGGAAATCAATGATGGTCAGATTGGGTCACGCGTCGAAAACACATTTCTTGTTTCACGCAACTTGCTGAAGCTAACACACGCAAAACACAACTTTCTCTGTATGTGTTCCTATGGTCAGCGAATCGATCGCTGTGTTTCTGACAATTATCAAAGACTAGAAGTTGCAGCAGGTAGTTTGCAAGCATGGCGAAAGCTTAGAGAGATCGCGGATTCTGTTCAAAGAAGTGAGACTTTCTCCCGAATTTTCTGCGAGAGACACGATGAAGTGATGACTGACTGGTTAACTATGCTATGCGGAGAGAGATGCTAAAGTGGTTTTGTAGACCCTGTCACCCACGAAACCGTGGCAGAGCTTAACCCCACCTGCAGCAGCATCATCACCACGCCACCGCCTTTACCAGCTTACATATATTTATGGGCGGGTGCAGTTCATTTAGTTTTAATTGTGGATTACATTAACGTGTGTTATGTCGTCATGCTTCCTGTGAAAGGCGCGCACGAACCACGACCGTTTTGCTAGGTGATAACGGAACTACCCGTCACATGGGGTTGACGAAATTTGAATAAAAGCCTGCCACGTCCTTATGTTTTCGCGAAAAGATGCAAGTCATCTCAGTTGTGCTTGTGCATCGCCTTATTTTTGCGCGTAGTGTTCGTGCTTATCTGTTTCTTTTCTATTGTTGACAGGAAAAGCGCAATCTTTACTTTGTCTAGGAAGCGGGGGGGGGGCATACAGGTGAACTATGTTTCCACGCGTCCTCACATATAGAGTTTCAGAAAGAAACAGATAAGCACACCCATCGCACGCGAACGTTAAGCTGTCTACTTCTGGGTTCACAATGCTTGCGGATCCATTCCGATATTCCGCCGTGCTTAGAATTTTGAGTGGCGGGGGGGGGGGGGGGGGCTCTAAATCAACTTAAATTTTGCTTTTGAAACTCAATTATGAATATCTTGAACTACACGCAACTTTTCGAAATTCAAAAAAAAAATATAATGTCATACCTTATAATGCACTGCAACTTCCTAATATAAGCAAATGCCTTCATGTCAATAATTAAAAAGTTGAATGACGAGCTTTTGTGATTCTGTCCTGTCAACGTAATTTTAGCGGCGGTAAATTGTATCAAACTAGACTCGGAGTTCGGGCGAAACCGATTGGAGCCTGAGTGTCATAGAATTTTTTAGAAGAAAAATCTGTGCTCCTAAATAAAAAAACCACTCCGTATCTAACCGTTTTGTTACACATATAACTTCGGCCTTTCACAAACCGCACCTGAATGCCTGGGAGCCTCACAGATTCTCTTAGAATCGTGTGACAGGATTGAGCGCGCAAACGTTAACAGTTGGGTTTATTCCGAAACTGGCGCGGCCATCTGCCAGAAAACATGAATGTTCGATGCCGCATGTGTAAATGCCGATGGGCCTAATCACAAAACGGATTGTCGACGGCCGACGCTGTGTTTGCCACTAACAGATTGAAGTGTTTTGCATGTAGTTCGACCTTTCGTTTCCTTGGAACAAGTTGACCCAAATGCAGTTTAGTCCTGCAAACACCGACTGCTGTCTCAGTCAACCTCGCGACCACGTGACAGTAGTATAGCATAGCAAAGGGTTGAAAAGAGAAGGGTGAGAATGTAAAAGCCTAGCCAAGCCTGGGTCAGCTATAAGTATACCAACCAGCTAAGCTGTTACCCTGCGTAGAGTGACTTATAGTTAAATCTGTGCTAATTGTGTTTAGCAGTCACGCATGCGTGAGAAGGTGTCGTTAATTTAGCTGAGATTTTTGTCGTTTCTTGTAGATGTCGAAGTTTAAGTATTATTTCTGGAGGTTCGCTAAAATTTGGTAAAAATATGGTTAACAATAATTTAACCCACATTTTAATCTTGTTGCTACTAACGAAAACGTGAAAGGCACTATTGCGCCTGAGATGAGCTGTTTCTTTTCTTTTTCTTTCTTACTTCTAGGTGATGAGGAAAAAGTATTACAACATGGTTGAAGACATGAAAGGGAAAATACGGGTCTACTGTCGTGTAAAACCTCTCACGAGTGATCAGCAGAACAAGGTACGCTTTTAGCGTTGTTAATCTGCGTGGTTCCATATGGTTAAAACCTATACGTACACTTTTACTGCCGCCACAGACAATCGGTTGTTTGTTTGTGGGGTTGGTGTTTTTTTGTATTTTTGTTTCCTTGAAATGGCAACAAACACGTTATCGAGCCAAGAAAATCACAGGGGAAGCTTTTTTGTAGTAATTATGACATGAATTAACAGAAATTAAAGAGAATGAAAACGCAACTTGCCGCCTGCGTGAACCGAACCTCCGACCTTTGACTTATGGGTTCGATGTTTTACCAATTCAGCTAGGGCGGCAGTCGGGTGTCCCCATGTAATTTATCGGGTGTGCGTGTGCATTCAAGCTTAGAAATAGCACACAGCACACAACCTGTAACGGTTGTGTGCTACGTAACACCAGCAGGCAGAAAAAGTGTGTTCCACGCTCGTCGTCATGACTACGGGTAGCGCTGATTAACACTGCCAGGTTTAAATTAACATATATGCCCCATACATTGGACGGAGGGATGACGGTCGATGTAGCTCAGTTGGTAGTGCGGTGGAAGCGTTATTCGAAGGTCGTGGGTTTGGTTCATGCCGTGTGCAAGTTGTCTTTTTGTCGAGTTTAATTTCTTCGCACTTGTATCATGATTGCTACGAATAACACCCCTATAGTCCGCTTGGATCGATATTCTGTTCATGGTCAATAATATTGGGTCTAACAAAGTAAACGAACCGCTAAATTTTGCATATGTTTTCTCGTAAGAGCTCCGATAACCGATTTTATGCTTTCGTCTCAACAAAAATTTCCTTAATACTCAATGGACGTGATCGAATTTATGGAAAGCGAAGAGCTGCAAAAAAAAAATCCAAGTTTCTGACCACCATAAAAACGTTGGTTGCAACTTTCGGAACACGCGTGTAACCTAGCTATTCGGAATAATTCAGCTGTGTGCGTAAAACATGGGGTGGAACTAGTCTTATTAGGGCGTGTCAAGATTCTAAATTTTGGTTTCTACCGGAAGACTACTGGGTTAAAATCATCAGTTTAGCCTTGATCCTGCTGGGCTAGAAAGCACCTTAAAATATTTAAGTAGCCGAATAACAGGATCGGTGTATTAGTGGGTGAGCCACAAACTCAATACGCGCATCTGATTGAATTGTCTCCCGAGGCATGCAGAGTTGTCGAGTGACTTTGAACGAGCCCGCTGACTTTGGTAGCCCTCAGGTGCTCATGCAATGGCCTTTCAGGATCTGCAGGGTGTGATCGATGCCACGGACGACTACACACTGGTCGTGCACGCGCCTCGAGGTGACAAGGAATTCACGTTCGACAGGGTTTTTATGCCGCACCACACGCAAGAAGACGTCTTCGGTGAAACAAACGTAAGATAAACTTTGCACGTAATCTAGCAGCGAAATTCTGCGAGCCATTTATTTACACGCGGTGACGGGGCACACTTCCTAATACAAATTCCTAGTATTGAAGAAGACTTGCTAGTAGCTTTATGTAAACACTGAAAGGCACTCTTACTGTTTTCTTATTGTTATTGTTTTGATCAGGAATGAAATCTGTATTAGTATACGTATCAGTTATCAGTTATCAAATTTTGGTGTCCAGCGTATGTACAGTACCCTACAGTCTATTATCTAGTCCAGCTGGATACCAAAAATTCTTCTTGTCCCCATCATCACCCTTCATCCCTCTTTCCTTCCCCCCTTCCCTTATCCCCTGTGTAGAGTAGCAGGCTAGAGCGAACTAGCTCAGGCCGACCTCTCTGCCTTCTAATAAATTCTCACTCACACACTTGGTGTCCAGCCATCGACATGACCCATTTCAGTGGACTGGTGATCGTGGTGCTTGACTGCTGAACTGAAAGTCGCGCGTTAGAATCCCGATAAAGGCAGTTGCGTTTGAATGCAGGGAAAATGATCGAGTTCCGTGTACTTGCATTTAGGTGCACGTTAAAGAACACAAGATGTTCGAGATTTCCGGAGCTCTCGACTACAGCATCCTCAATGATGATATTGTGTGTCGGGACGTAAAACTGCAACAATTAAGACATGTTCTTTTGAGACAATAGGCGCAAAGAGCCCACGTGATACATCATTGGATGTCTAGCTATAAAAGAGACGATATTAAGTGCAGTACTGGAATAGGAAACACGTCGTCTTTTTTTTTTCAGCTGCAAACGAAAATTGTTCCCTATGCCCAACCTACTGACCCCTTCGCTAACTCTCAAAACTGTCAAAGCTGGTCTTGTGAATTGGCAGGCGCTAGATTGTACCACTCCAGCAATAAATTCACCATTTCCCGAATGTAAGCAAACGCAATTGCACAAATCATTGCGCACTCCAAGATCTCGTTGGAGCAGTCTGCTGTCCGCATGTTTGCTTGTGGCGTTCGCGTTGATATTCATGTTTATCATTCAGTAAACAGGTAGCATCATAGAAACAGCAAAGGTAATTGAAGGATTCACCTCTTCGATTGAAAACGCGTGATATGTCATGTTCGCGTGAAAACAGTTGATGAAACTGATCTCGTAAGACATCGTGCCAAAATGAAAGCACAGTATTTACTCTGGCTAAAGAAGCTCTAACTTATAACAGTTGCTATATCGTTCAACTTGAAGTTCACACCGACAAAAACTAAAAAAACAATAGTAATGAAATCGAAGACCTATGCTTTCACGTCAAAAGTGGAGACGTGCGCATTAAATCAAGAAATTTTCACAGAATAAATTATTCTGTTTTGTAACGAATTGGTCAGGTCAATCCACAGGAAACAATGCACATTGCTGCTCCAGTGCGAACACTTCTGGCTGGTAATAACTAGTACAAATATAGCAGGGGTACTATAGTAATAGAAGTTTCAAGAAGTACTCAAAAAATGTACTTAGCTCCTTTTTGAACATTTCTTCGTTTCTGTTGTTTTCGTAATTTTTATTCATTGCAAAAAAACAAAAAAAACAACACCACACGTGTTCTGAAGCTTCGTGTAATACAACAAGGCGCTGCGTATTTTTTTATATCCAACGTAGGATCACATGGACTAAATAAGCTAGCAGTTTTACTTGGTCACTGTATGACTATTTTCGGCAAAGTTACATAACGAGCCGTATAATAAGACAAAAAAGGGTTATAGAAGTACCCGAACAAAGATGTTACCGTTTTTTTCTTACACTAACGGCTGCTGCATTATATCATTTATGATGTTCGTTGTACTTGCCTTCACTCATACCGCGTTTCGCACGGTTCCATGTAAATGCTCAATGCCTATATCATGTCACTTAAGTCAGGGCTCTGAAGGGCGTTGCGGTCAGACAGGCATAATACATATCGGTGCTGGCGGCGAATCTATTATTTCCTATGCGTTCATCCGTTCTTTATGCCTTCATTTCAGAGCCTGGTACAGAGTGCCATGGACGGCTATAACGTGTGCATCTTCGCCTACGGTCAGACTGGCTCGGGCAAGACGTACACACTCACTGGAGTCTCAAACACAGAGCAGTTGCAGGCTGAAGGCATCGCACCGCGCGCCTTCCGCAGGATGTTCGAGCTCGTCAAGGAGAACGAGTAAGCGTCGGAGCGTGTGCGCTTAGCCTCGCAGATTCAATGTTCGCAACAGCTGCACCTGTGGCACCCAACAATGCTAATACGAGAATAACTTTGCTCGTCCATTCACAAGCTATAGGTTATTACGGGCAAGCTCATCGAGCAAACAGAGCAGCTTCATGCTGTATGCAGTTTTTTTTTTTTTTGCTTCCAAGCAGTTTTGCCTGACGACTTGGCTGAAGTCGTACTAGTGCTGAGCTGAGCTTGCGGCACTTTCAGGTGTCTTTCGATTCCGTAACACATCTCGTGTACCAAATCGAAGAAATGCAATAGCAAACTTTTCGAATGATTTAGAAGTAATGTTTCTCTTGGGAACCACTTCTAAAGAACACCGAATGAAAGAGTAAAAGTCGGGAAGCTCGACTACGTAACGTATTTGGGAAACCTCGTAAGGCATTTTATTCTTTGTAGCTTGAACAACCATACTGGTGACTGAGCACCTCAATGCCAGCATTTGGCCTCAATGTGCGTGCTCCAAGTATAGAAACATATTTCGAAAGATTGCGATGTGCGTCAGAACCTATCGGTAATCAATGGGAAAACCAAGAAAGTTTGGTTAGTTTGAAAAGTTTTGCATTAAATTTCAAGGGTGTGAGACGGGACTAGTAGGCAGTCCCCTTTCGAGAAACAGCGCAGCAGTGGACAGTGGACAACTTTTGTGGTTCCTTTTTCACTTGCACGTGATTTCTGGCAAGAACAGGCTTGCCTGAGTTACTCTGAGCGTAGATACAAGGGCAGCGCTTAAAGTTGCATCTGTTTTACTTGTTCGTTGCACGTCGCTGTGCTGTTTCTTCGAAAGGCAAAGAGCATTGTAGCAGCGCTGGTGCCTGATCGGCCTGCTTGATTGGAACGCTTGATGCGGCCGCAAACAAATGGAGTCACCCATCGTACTGAACATGTTTACTGCCACTTATAGATCTCAGGCTACCTAACATCCATCCGCGAGGGCATTTGAAGTTCTGAGAGCCGAAATAAACACATAACTAAGAACCGCGGTAACAAAACACCCATATGAAAATATAAAAGCGAGAATTTGGTTATGTAAGTTGTGCGCCAATGTAACGCTGTCTGTTACTTTTCGCGCATGTTCTTGGACCCCCGAAGAATGAAGCAGTCGTTCCTCGTGACTGCAACATTCGTCGAACTCTACAACGAACGTTTTGTGGACTTGCTCAAGGCGAACAGCAATCCGGAGGTAAAGTTATCAGATGAAGTGTAGTAGCCGATATTTATTTTGTAATGAGTGTACACAGAATGATGATTCGTGGAAAAAGCTAAATCATGGCTGATGAAAGCCAATCTATGGAGCCGAGTTTTCAACAAAAATAGTTGGCCTCATCAATGCGAAGATTTATAGAATTGGTCGATTATCGGGTGAAAAGTTGAGAAGCGTATGGTCAGGGCTACTTTTTCAATTACATGTGGACTCTATGGGCATGGCATAAGTTACTGAAAGAGCTTATTAACACAGAAAAAAATATGACGAGAAAGACCCAAGCTGGGGACGTAAGAATGTCATACTTAAGAAAAAGTTTAGAAAGAAAGCGAATAAAAACAAACTTGCATGTTTCCTAAAATAGACGCACTGTATATAGTTCTGGCTATTATATTTATGGAAATTGAATCACGATCCTAGAAATCATTAAAATCTGCAGCACATATACTCTTTTTGCAATATCTCAAGCTCACACTCCAAAAATATGTACCTGAATTGAAAGAAAGGCCGCCCCGACTCTGTGTGTTGTCGTGTCGAAAATTCCAACCCCAAAGGCATTGTACAATGTTAATAATGTCTTGAAGAGCCCTTTTTTGTTTTAATTGAACTAGAACCAATGAGAGCTTGGGAAGGTCTCTGAACTTGATCCAGTTCTCAATCAACCCTTCGTTGCAGGAGAAGCTCGAGGTTCGCAAGGACTCGAGTGGCCACACGTTCGTGCCAGGTGTGACGACAGAGGAAGTGTCCAACTCGGCGCAGTTGTGCGAGTGCTTCGCGCGCGCTCTGAAAAACAGGCGTGTCGCTTGCACGCGCATGAACGCTCAAAGTTCGCGGTCGCACTTTGTCGCCACGGTCGAGGTCACCAGTACGAACCGCCTGAACGGAGCCGTCCTCAGGGGAAAGGTACGCTGCCGTACACAGCCTGGTTGCATCTCTGTCTTGTGTGTTTCTTCGCGTGCGCGCGCGTGTATCCGTCAACGTTCATGGTACAGTTTCAATGCTAAAAAAAGGGAAGAGTATTGCAAAGCATGACTTATCAACTCTCAACTTCCCAATTTTTTTTTTGAGAGTGGGGTCGTCACTTGCACTGAATAATTTTGTCAAAAGCGATGGATTTTCAGTTTGTACTAAGTGAAGCTGTCAAGGAGACGTAGTGGTTACGGCGTTTGGGTACTGACCCGAAAGACACAGGTTCAATGCCCGACGTGGTGGTTGCGTTTCGATCGAGGTGGAAAGTTAGACGCCATTGTACTGTGTGTTCTAAGTGCAGCTTAAAGAATTTCGGGCGGTTGAAATTCTCAGGAGCATGACGCTACGGCTCGTCTCATTCTACTGTAGTTCTGGCTGGCAACACCTGAAGAATTCTTTTTTTAGAAATCATAGTGAAACTGAGAAGCAAGCAATATATCATATCAGTATAGTCAATCAGTAAAGTTCAGTGCTTTGTGAGGTGTAACTCTTACAGTTCCCAGTATGTTGTACTTTAAAGATTCGTAGTTTTCTTCTGCGATTCTGTTTGACGATAATACTACATTATACTGTTCGTGGATTCGTGATGTATTCAAAAATTGTGGTGCCTGTTTTCGTTCCTGCTGGCTATATTGTAAGCGGGTTCTGTACCATGAGAAGCTGCTCCACGGTAGCTTTTGGTCCAAAACCTTTTAAGGTTGAACGCCTTAGATGTTTCATGAAACATAAGAATTGACCGGCGTCCCTTGTCGGCATCTTGCGTCAGCATCCCGCGTTGGCGTCTCACGTCGGCGGTGCATGCACAAGTGACTCAAAAGAACATCATCGCACGATGACTCCACCGGGACGTCACAAATGGCCAACTATTGTGACGTCGTCAAGACGCCGCTATGGCGTCTCAATCTGACGTCACACAGTACGCCATCCCATGTCATCATTACTTGGTGAAAGGTGGGCGGATCCCGGAGGCAGTGCAAAACAAAGTGAGGTACAGGAAGCTTACGATGCCCCTTCTGATCTTGGAGGCAATGAAGGACCATGCTTGTTGCGGAAAGTTTTCAGAGAGGCGCGCGGGAAGTTCAGTGTGTCAACATAGACCGAAATGTATTACTTTCGCCTTCTCGTGGAGTGGAGTGGTTGAATAAGGGATTCTGTAAATTTCATTCTGGTGACTGTAGCACGACCAGCTCTGAAGAATCCTCCGTAGAGCTGTTATTAAACCCGTAGGTCGGCAAAAAAAAAATCGGAGCTGCACTCAGACTCGCTGAACAAAAATAATCTGCTCTGAGGGCTTACTCTGGCTCGCATTCACCAACATTTTCCTCAATCGAACTCACTCAAACTCGTAGTAACTAAAATGTTTCTCAGCGAGCCTCACTGGGACTCAATTTCACCAACATATTATTAAACCACACTCTCACAGGCTCAGACTCACGGCTTGGCATGAGTCTCTGTGAGCTTGGTTGAGTTGACTCATGAGTCCTTGATCATAAAATCAGTTTTTTTATTACGATAACAATGTTATTTATTGTCAATATTTTAAATAATTGGTGCTCTACGATACACAAGCTGACCTATACCTTACAGGAGTGAAATCACTAAAACGTCGTGTTTGCAAACACGACTTATCAATGATTTCAATCCTGTAAAGTCAATATTATAAATAAGCGACTTCCGTGAGATATTTTTATCAAGAACTTCCGGTGAAAGAAGTAGCGGGGAACGTCATGGCACCCTCTTCATGGCACGCCTCTTATCAAGAAATATAAAGCTGGCGTGGGAACACTCGTGTGTTGAAGTATGAGGGATTAGCCATGAGCATAAACTTGAGCCGACATAAGGCTGATATGTATGCTGAATGTGAATAAATAAGACCATAGCTCGGCAATAAAAACGTGGGGCTTGCTCAGGCTCTGCTCAATAAATATATTTTGCGCTTAGGGCTCACTAGGCAATATTTTCCTCAACTAGACTTGAAGCTCACTACAAGTTTCCTAAACCGGACTCAATCGGACTCAAAGTCACCAGAATGTTACTCTCCTGGACTCACTCAGACTCACGGGCCCATTTTAGCCTGAGTGAGTGTGTGTGAGAGTCAAGTCATGAGTCAGTTTGCCGACATGTCTTTAAGCCAGGGGCATGTCCCGTATATCTACTGACCGGGCTTTTTACAAAGAGGACGGAATAAATGAAGTGGCAGTGGCCACACACAGATGCATTTGCCTGCATACGCATGCGTGCGCGCACGAGCACGCACACACACACACACACTGCGACACGCAATCGCACGCACACACGTGTGCACCAGAAAAAAAAAAAACAGCCGCTCTTACTGTACGTTGCGAGTACCGCGTACGTACATTTTGTGTCGTGTACCTTCGGAACTATTCGACTACTTTATCTGCCACGGCTTTGTTTCGTACGGGTAAGAAAAACCCAAATTTACCCGTATGAAGTTTCACACGAATGCTCTTCCGGTACTATTCCTTATGGCATCCCTGCGCCCAAGCATTCTACGCAGAGTTCCCGGGCGTCCCTGCACCCGAGCACTCTGCCTAGAGGCCACATTAAGTTGCAAACGTCGCAGCCGAAGCCAGAGTGCTGCTCGAGAAACTATCACCAAACGTGGACGTCGCTCCGGCGAACGCGTTTCTGTCATTGCCGCGTTGATGCTTCTCTGCCCTCTACGCCACTTTCTTGGCTCACCGTTGTCGCTTGAACTCCGCTCGGGAGGCTGCCGGATCCTCGGTGCGTAGTTGATACTTGCGCTTGTAACCTGGGCCTGTTTCTGTGCGCGGACTATTGCGATGGCTTGACGAACGTGAATGCTCTCATGGAGCAGCAGTCGGCGCTGCTTTTGGAATGTTGCCTGCTGTTCGGGCGCTCGTTAAACCTATGTGTGACGTCGAACTCTTCACTCGCCTGCGAGCCAATCACGTGATGTTTGTTTTTATCCCTCCTTTGACTGTCAACCAGCTTGATGACATTTCTTGGCGGTGAGGCGACGTGCGCGCTTCGATAGGGTGGGGCTGATTTACCTCCTTTGCGATCCTTTTTTTTTTACTTCTCTCCTGCATTACTTTCTCTCCCACCCCCAGTATTTCTGCAGCACTGTTGTGGTTACCGCAACTGGAAGAGACAGTAACAACGCTAAACTTTTTTCTTCGTTTTTCTATCTTTGTAAGCAACTGCATCGAAATTTCATATTAATAGAAGCTTGAGTGCGTCTGTATTTCTTTTTCTCAGCGCCTACCTGTGTTTCTTTTGCATTGTCGTCGTCTCGTGAGCGCTGTATAGACCAAAACGAACGTAGAAACTGGGGCGCAGGGCCCGGCGGCACGGCTGGGACGGGATCAATGGCGTGCAGCCACTGCATGACGGCGTTTCTAATGGCGCATGCGCATGGGTGTGACGTAAAGAATGACGCACGTGATGGAGCAGCCTGTGCAGACATTTACCGTTTCTCGTGGCCAACAGTCTCATGTATCGCTTAGCGATATACAGCTTTCGCTGTAAAAGTGGATGAGTTACAGCTTCTTGTTTTTCAGGCAGAACAAAGAACCAGAAACTGGCAGAAAGAAATCGCACCAGTGTTTAGGCTCCACTTAGTTGCCAAATAACTGTTCACTGGCTGTTTCCATGCGCCGCTCGTGACATACGCACCTTTTTGACAGAATGGATTTTACTGCTGCAGCACGAGAACTTCATCGTAAACATCACCATTTCCTGGTTAAATTATTGCCCTTTCGTAATGCTCCATAGCTTCCGGTTATATACATAAAACATTACAGATGAAAGCCTGCATTGAATTGTCACGGTCTCCATGTCTCCTGTGAGGCTGCGTTGCTTGGACGGTTCGCAGCAGGTTATGAAGACTAAGTTTATTGCTGAGTGCAGCCATCACTGACTGCAAACTTTTTCTCGAAACAATAGCTAACATTGCGTTCTTGTTATTTTATTTTCCTTGAAATAACTGCTATTTTTGTACAATCTGGATAAATTTTGCTGTTAATTGAGTCCACCACGCTGTTTTATTTGCATTTTTTATGTATTTACCCACTCCCCTCTTTAATGCATTTTGGCCCTGAGGCTAATTTAAATAAATAAATAAAATAATTAAATAATAAAAAACTGCTTCCTCTACGCGGCGACTGCACCATGCATACCGTGCCGTCAGCCATTTGAAATTTATAGGTGGCATTGGGTATGTTCCAGCTACTGTCTCACTCCTTCATGGTTTAGAGAGGCACTGTTTTTCAGTAACGCCGGCGTGGTTGAGCTTGCGCCAACTCGCTGAGCGTAGTTGGTGACCGCTCACCAAGAGACGTGACGACGGGTTAGGGAACTCGGGTGAGCATTATTCATCACACGGGGATCTAGGTATCGCCATCTTCACTTGTGCGTTATGTTCTCCTCCGAGTGGGCTACGAGTTAACGAGGTTCCTTAGCGGCTTCGACAAAGCACGTGAAAAATGCCTGAATACAAAGAGCAGGTACTTATTTTTAAATATCATATTCAGCAGCAGAAGCGCCGTTTAGTTCCAATGCAGGAATGGTAACAAATATCTAATGGGGCCTCGAAACTATTTTGGTAATGTAGTGGTAAAGCGTTGCTGATCTGTACTGAAGATTGCTGATAGCATGCGACATAGCAGCGTTATGCACAGTACATAAATTACGATCTTGATTTCTGCAAATTAGTTCTGCGGTAGGCCGCAAGGTTCGGAAGGGTTAAGAAAGGAAAGAAGACAACCACCCGTTTGTTGTACGAAGCCACAAAGAAATCTGAACGGATTTTCTTGTGCGGACTTGCTTCCCTTTCTTAATTTCGATTTCTCTTTGGCACTCACATACACACATACGCACGCGCACACGCACGCACATATTCATACACGCAAACGCATACATATGCGCACGTACTCAGACACACACACGCACGTACACACGCACACACACGCACGTACACACGCACGCACGCACACACACAGACACACACACACACACACACATATATATATATATATATATATATATATATATATATACGCGCACACACGCACGCACACACATACATGAATGCGGGGATGTTTGGTTTTCTCTAAACACAAGGAATATAGTGCTGACGCCAGTATCAAGCGGTTGCGGGCTTTCGGGAAACACATAATGCTTTGTGGTGATCAGTATACGAAGCTCTTTTTATAGCCTCATCTATATGAATCTTAGCGCTAATATCAACGAGCCAGGTCTCACACATGTTGCCAAAAAGGAAAGAAAAACACTGCATCAGAAGAGCGCACGTCAGTGTTTTTACAACTGAGAGCTTCTTTTCCTACAACTCTTGTTCGGCAAAAGTCACGTCAGGGTAAACATCACTGGCGACTCACACAATGCTGATATACACCGATGAACGTGATTGGCATTATTACGGCCTTTAACACGGCTACATGACTTCGGAGCGAAAACACGCTGACTAGTGATACGAGAGGCATGGGATAAAAAGATCGGCAAACGACTGCAGCTTTTCAGTGATCCTCCTGTATACGCATGTTCAGCGGTTCGTCCTCTAATGGGGAGCGGTACTCTTTAGCTGTGGGTTTGTAAAATGCAAATTGCCATCACATAAAATCTTCGCTTATCGTCCAACGAGAGAAATAATGTGACAGCCTTTAATGTCTCATACATTCAGCGACCGTCCTTTCGTCCGGCACCCTGGCAAGGTGCCAGCTGTGGGGTCTCCCCCTCACGTAGGAGATCAATGAGCTTTATTAGCGCTGGAATGTGGATGGCGTCTACACGAAGCGCAAAGAGCGAGAACACGAATGCATGCGAAAGGCGAATGAGTCACGCGTCTCACGACGATTACCGGTAAAATTAAAAAAAAAAGAAAGAAAACATGTGCACACATTTGTCTGTGTGCCATTCCACAGGAAGTGCAAAAAAAAACACACACATACAGCATATCTACGGAGTGCATCATGATGAGTCGGGCGAGGCATCCGTCAGTCCGTCCGCGCTTCCATCCGTCCGTTCGTTCCTGCTTCCGTCCGTCCTTGTATCTATCTGTGCGACGGCCCGTCTGTCCGTGCGTCCGTACGCGCGTCCGCTCGTCTGTCCATGCATCCGTTCGTCCATGTGTCCATCCAGTCCATCCATGGGTTCGTCATCCGTCCGTGCCGTCATCCGTCTGTCCATCCGTCCATTCATCTAGTGAACACTCCAAGCACCGTCATCTTGCATCTTTTTATCATATATTCATCATATAACAGTGCCGCCATCCAGCGGACATTCAAGGCCTAAAGCGATAGGTGGCACGGCCGGACTAGAGGAGCGGCACGCGCAGCACTCTCTTACGGCCTGCGCATCGTGTCTAGTTTCCACCTTTTACCGCCGCTAGTTCATGGCACTACGGCCCAACCCTCGCTAAACCTTGTTAAAACCAAGGAGGTTACGCTCAGCGAGCTTAACGTGCCAACTTCTCTGAAGCAGGACTGATAGTTGGCTAGTTGGTTGGGCTAGTGCGAATTTTCTGGTCAGATAGTGCTCAAAGTGCGTCCTTCTGTTACTAGTTTTTTTTTTGTAAGCATAAACTCAAAGCATGTTTTATTGAAAATTAGGTCACAGATATTTATCTCTACAGGTTATTTCGAAGGAAACAATTATCTTTTTTTATTTAGGATTAACGTGCACGAGTCTCCTGCTCAATCGAAAAGAGCGTGCCCGTGCCGCTCCTCTAGTCCGGCCATAGAGGTGGCTACCTACTACTACGACTGCTGCTACTACTGCTACATACATCGAGGAAGCACGATCCACGGCTTAAGCAGCTTCGCCCCTAAAATATGTCTTTCTACTTGTCTGTCTGGCATGATTTAGCTAGGGAGAGCCTCCTTGTGCGTGCCGCCTCGTAGAGGAGGCGGGCACGCTGATGCTTCGATTATGATAGACGCCGTAGCGGAGGGCTCCGAAAATTTAGACCACCTGGAATTCTTTAACATGCACCCAAATCTGAGCACACAGGCCTACAGCATTTTTGCCTCCATCGAAACTGCAGCTGCCGCAGCGAGGATTCGATCCCGCGACCTGTGCGTCAGCAGCCGAATACCTTAGCCACTAGACCACCGCGGCGGTGCATTATTAGGTGGTGTGTTTTTTTACTAGAAAATACATAGATATAGATTACCATCACCACATAGATACGTAATATTTAAGAACCTAGTGTTTCTTAGGCTGCGCTGAAAATGCGAAGCTATGCACGTAAGAAAGCTCACAGAAGAATATTGCCCTTCGAGACATTTGCAGTGTAGCACGCTTATACGCAGCCAGCAGGAAAATGCTGTTTGCCGACCTTGAGCTGGTGTCATCGGCGTTCACTAGAACAGGTCATGTGACTCTATGAGGAAGGAGAAGCCTGGTGAGAGGGAAAGGGAAGTCACAGCGTCGACTGCAGAGGGGTAACTGAACGGGGGAGTGAAGAAATTAATGAAACATTTTTTTTTTCGTCAGGCGTGGTTTGAAACAGACTCCTTACGGTTCGAGGACAAGGGCCATAACCAATTGGCTAATTACTTGCGCTAGCTGAATATGACCTTATGGGAAGTAAATATGAAGGAGAGAGGTAAGTGGTCAAGTGTGCCACTCGTCCCTGCCCGGTGACTGCGAATAGCGCACGTATCCATTGGGGCGGTCCTTGCTCCGGCGTTGTCATGTGTATTGAGTGGCACTAGTGCACCTGAGACACCGAGAGCTAGCGATGAGACGATGGCGACGACGCTGTGGGTCGTTTCACTGGTACCAACACGAGCCTGCGAGGAGAGACGCCGAACCAACCGGCTAGAGATGTTATAATATATTCGAGCAAACTTTCACGAAAATTAGGAGGCACGTTTGAAACGTGGCCACAGAAACGATATACTCACTGTCCGACGGCTTTCATGGTGTATAAATGGTTGAATGTCTTTATGTCTTGAAATTGCAGCTAAGTCTGGTTGACCTTGCCGGCAGTGAGAGGCTGGATAAAAGTGGGCTTGAAGGAGATCACATCAAGGTAAGCCCCATACATAATATACTCAAGGGAAAAGCTAACATAGGCATGTTTATCTATGGCTGTATTTTGTCAAGACCTTGGGGAGATAACTTGCCTAAACGCTTCACCAGTTGGATCATTTCCCAACTCGTTAGAAGCGCTCTTCATCTTTCTCAAACGAAAAGCTTGCAGTAAGGGCAAGCATATGGTCGTTAGTCTACAACGACCAGATTAAGAAGTATGAATATCGTGCTACCCTCATGCTTGCGTGGAGTGTTACTTTATTTTTCCTCCTTAAGATTGAATGGGTTGTACCTATCGTTTGAAACGCGCATTTTACAGTGGTTACTATAGCATGCTTCGGCTATGTAGGTATAAGACGAGAAGACACGTCATGATGCAAAATTTGTTGAAGTCAAGCGTTTAGCAGAATCCCGCCTGGCCTGAGAAGTACATAGACGAAGAAAACAGCGCCGACCAAAGTAAACATGTGTTCTTCAAAAGATGTTTTAGCTCTCACATCTGGATCCTTGTTCACCTGTTCACCTGCGAACAAGGCTCCCGTGTAGAAGTCGAAACGTCTATTTAGCGATATGTTAATACTTTAATCTGCCCGGCGTTATCTTCATCCTAACTTCGTTATGGTCATCGCAACACTTATCGTACATCTGCAACGTCCGTTTTCTATACCCGCTGCACTCGTTAAATTTCATTTCTTATCGTCATTGTGTCAAAATACATATATTAGGAATCCTGTATATTTCAATGGTCCTGGAGTGGACCAAAGTTTTCCGGGGGATCAGCAATAGTAAAATTACGCAGCATCGTTCATTAGCTGTGGTGATCCACGCAAAACTTGAAACGAGAGACAGGTGGCATGGCACCTCCTGTAAATAGCAAATTGTTTAAGCCTGGCGACCTTCATCCACTACTTCGATTATCTTTATTCCGGAAAACGCTCAGAGAGAGACTGAGAGAGAAAGAGAGAGAGAGCACGCAACAACAGGAATAACAGATAGGTTAACCAGGCGAGCGTCCGTTTTGCTGGCCTTCACAGTGGACAACGGAAGGGATATTGAAAAAAAAAACTGTTCGAGAGAGGGGAAAAGTGCCTCACGTAAACAGACCTACAATCGGTCAACATCTACATACCATCACATCTACAGCATCTACAACATCTACAACATCTACATAGTGGACCTGAATCATATTCCGTAAACTCTCTTGAAAGGGGCATATTAGGACAGGATGGCTGATCAAGGGCAATTGGGGGCCATGCTACTGAGCTTGGCCGCGACTGCTGAGCTAGGCTCCCTCCCACACACTTGACAGCACATATTTTTCATTCATTAAATTAATTAATTCATTCATTCATTCATTTATTCATTCATTCATTCATGCATGCATGCATGCATTTATGATTGCTCAACTAATCATACAGCAACAAAATGAAATTGTGAACAAAATGTGCAATAACGCCCGCATGAGTGGTATTGTAATCTTTGTTGTTTCCGCAGGAGACAAACAGCATCAACAAGTCGCTGTCGGCACTCGGAGACGTGATCCAGGCTCTTGTCACCCAGCAGTCTCACGTGCCCTATCGCAACAACAAGCTGACGATGCTGATGCAAGACTCCCTGGGTGGCACCGCCAAGACGCTCATGTTCGTCAACGTCTCGCCCAGCGGCGAACACGTCGAGGAGACCGTCAACTCGCTCGTGTACGAACTACCTTACTCAAAATGCTGACAACTAGGTTATTGATCGCCAACCTCGGCATGTGGCGATCATATCACATCAATTTCGCATTGTCCCCGTGACTGCTGAGGCGATGGCAGTGTTTCATCGGGTGAGGCTACCCTGGCGACAATGAAACGTTGGTTCGCCTTAGCATCTCATACGTTGAACATTGGTAGCTGACATACTTGGTTCTGGCGAATACTGTGAAACACAAAACTGGCGAACAAATGCATCAACAGTAGGGGAACCTGAACATTGCATTGTGTTTGTTGCTGTCCTTTTCACGCTGTTCTTCGTCAATACAACTTGGGGAATAGTTATTTGCCGTTGCAAACTCGAATAAGACAAGTACGCTTATCGAAACGTGAGCTCAAGTGACACCCCACGTTAACGAAATATCGTTCCTTCGCCAGTGCAATGTTTCGCAGCAATAACGTACGTTCTCAGCATCGTCTGCCATCACACGTTTAATAAGTCTGTCTCTCTATGAGCAGTAGGAAGACCCTCATATGAAAAAAGCTTTAGACCTGTCCAGTTATTCTACGTTACGACATGCATTGCGAACCTATACGTCATATATGTGGTGTTCATTGCAAGGCCAACTGCTCTTCAGTATGCAGCGAGAATGTGAGTCATGCTGGTACTAAAGATGTTGCAGCGTTACCAACAATACCGCGTCATGATGGGGTCATACCGTCCTCCGTCCCCCCTTACTTCGTAACGCAGTCAAATATATCTCGCCAAGCCCCAGAACCATTCCATTCGGACTTCAGCAGTAAATCAATGAATAAGATGAAATACAAGCCACACTTGCAAAGTGCGCCCACGACAACCAAATGTTGCACTGCGCAAACGCTTCGACCTACACTTGTGTGTAGCGGTCCAATTTCATCATTATATTTTAAAAATAACGACCAACAAGCTCAGGTCACAGTAAATGAATTCATTATCATGGTTCTTGCTCTATTCACATATTGTAAAAGCTCGTCCATTCGACCGTCGATAATCCGAAAAATCGGATAATTCGAGCGTATTCTCTCATCCTGGCCAGTATAAACATTGTTTATTGGAATCAAACTCTCGTTGTACGGTCCATAATTGGCCAAAAGTTGGTCAGTTTGGAAAATCCTGGAAGCTAACTACACCATTCTGTAGTTGCTGCCAGCAGTCGTGCAGTCGGTAACCGCCTACCAAGGCTCTTTGCCCTTTGTACGCAATCGTTAAATCCGTATTTCTATATTTTATGTATACTGCTCTCGTAGCCAAAGCGCCCCTCCCACGTGGTTAAGCTCCTGGAATTGAGAAAAGTTATTCTGTGCACGCAGACAGCAAATTGCTTTTCCTAAATTAGCCTATGGGATCAGCGTATCAGCCTTTCAGGTTATTCTATTTTATATCGCTCTCTGCTTTAGCCTGCTCGAAAAACATTTTTAGTAAATGGGTTTCTGGGGACTGCTTGAAGCAACCTCGCAATCGGGCTTTGTGCGTGAAATCGCAAATGAGAGTTTGAGCGTCCCCAATTTGCCGCGTTTACACAGTTGAGCTGAACCACACTGCTGCCGGTAAGACGGGTGCATCATGCGGCTAGTTTATGCGCGAAAGGTCACGCAAATAGACAGGCCATTCGCGTAACTGACCAAAGCCCGGGCTTTTATGTTTCTCAACCTCGAAACTTTCGTCTCTAACAAACTGACAATGACAGAGTTCTCGCGGTGTTCTCTAATCTGCATTTGAACGGTGCATTTAATGTTGTCTTATATGTTTCTCCTCAGGTACGCTACGCGCGTCCGACAAATCACCAACGACATCGTAAGAGCATCTGAAACGAAAGAAATCGCCAAGCTTAAATCTGTGAGTACATGCTATGTGGGCACCATTGCTAGCTCTAGAAAGACTGTGTTTAAATGAAGCAGCGGAAAAATAGGGCGCACTCTACAAACGCCACACCCAAAGCCCGTTGGTTATTTAGCACATTTTTTTTTCCTTTTTGCGCTCACCCGTGTAAAGATTGTGCCTTATTAGTTAGGTCTTAAGGACCTCAGTATGCCGAAAAATCTAGTCACTTCTTGGCTAGTACAATACGTTACGACTGATGTTGCTCAACCATTTCAGTCTCAAATTACCTATTTTCAATGTAAGCAGCTAGTTTTTTTTTTTTTACGTAATAAGGCGCGCACGATCGTGGTAAGCCAAAAAACTGAAAAACAAAAACTCTTTGCTCATGCTTTTAGTGAAGAGTACTTATTGTGCCAAATAATTTACTAAATAAATAAATAATGTTGAATGAATATTCCGTAAGTTTTACTGCATTTATTACTTGAAATGTTATACAATTGGATGGCATAAGTCGAATAGCCAAAATTAGAATTTCCGATACAGAACTAATATAAATACCTTATCTCTGCACGGTGAAAGAAGACGCTGTCTCAGCGAAATGCGCGAACAGCAAGGCCGTTTCTGTAATCTGTTTTTTTTTTTTGTTAAGACATGACTTCGCTTTATTGTGTTTACCATTGTAACATCGCATGTAGGGCAGATGCTAAATACGGGTTCTTGAGGAAGAACAACGCCTTATCTTCAACAAATGCTGGTTAGCTGACGTACATAACTTATGAGAACAATTACAATAACAGGAACTGAAATGGTTAAAAGAAACCAAGTAGCGGGAATTTCGTGAAGATTCGAGAACAGCGGAGCACAAGTTCGTTCCTGCTATACAAAATAATAATAGAATATGTCGTACATGAGTTACAAACGTAATTGACCAAAGATCCCGATCCTTGATCCACCAGAAAAATATATACACTTACTCTTCAATAAAAAAGTGTGGTTTAATTTCTTCCCCATTACCTTCCTACACTGGGTCACGTATAAACTACTGAAATTAGCATGAACTACTCTAGTGTAAATAGAGTTTGCAAAAATTTACTGGAGGAGTCTCTGGCCCTGCGATCGTTCAGCAACCATGAGAATGATGATTAGTATATGAATTTGCATATTCTTTGTTCTTGCGGGCGGCGAATTGCACTTGTGTCTTCTGTAGCGGAGCATACGCTTCAACGCGTATGCGCCTTCGGAAGATAACGGAAACCCCCGTGCTCTTCTTGGGTGAGAGCCTGTACCGCCTTTGCCAGACTTGCCGTACGGCCATTTTTTGTTGCAACTTAGTTGCGACTTCTCTGCTCGAATTAACGTCAGCACATTTGGTGGAGGCTGCTAGATCCCCAAGCAGACCTGGAGCTCCGCTCTCGCAACTTGCCCGAGAGGCTACCGCGAAACATGACTGACGCAGTCGCCGACCAGCCCGTCCCAGCCCAGGCTGCACCATCGGCTGCCCCGTCTACCTGCCCCGGAGCTACTCGCCAAGGGGACCCACCAATCTTCAGCGGCAGTGGTGAGCAAGACGTCGAAGACTGGCTCTCCTTGTACGAACGCGTAAGCGCCAGCAACAAGTGGGACGACGACTCTAAGCTCGCCTACGTTATCTTTTACTTGGCAGACGTAGCTAAGCTTTGGTTTACCAACCGCGAAACCGCCATCGCCAACTGGTCCTCCTTTAAGACACCTCGTGACTGAAGCGTTCGGCCGACCAGAGGTCCACAAGCTCTCGCGCAATCAGAGCACGGGGCTTTTCGTTATCTTCCGAAGGCGCATACGCGTTGGTGCGTATGCTCCACTACACTTCGTTTATGGCGGTGTTTTCGTTTTGTTTCGAAGTAAAGACTGAACCATTTTGAACTTCGTGACCCGATTTGCAATGGTAAGTTTAGAAGAACCATGTGGCGAAGCGCAACCGCTGATCATTTACTGATTTTTGTTTCGTGAGAAAACAGCTCCAAGCCACACGAACACACACGGAGCCAAAAGCAGGCCAGAAGTACGAGTATTAGACAAATGTGTGTACTACTCATCATTCCCATGCTCACTGAAGCGCCGTGCGTTGCAGCTCCCATAGACACTAGCACCAGAGTAAGATCTAGAGTATATTTAGAAAACTCTATTGCGTAAAAGGCCCTTCAAGCTGGCTCTAAAATTGCCAACGCCCCGACTTCAAGCTGGCTTAAAAGGAAATGGAAGGCAACATGAAAGCCCGTGACTCATTTGCACCAGGTTGATATGTTTCATGATCCAGCAGTACCTGTGGCTTAGAAGCATTGCTGCACTTTACATTGAAGCAAAAGGTGCACTACTTTCTTGCTTTTCACTTTTCTCCCCGCCCCCTCTGGAAAATAAAAACAGAAGAAAATGAATTAAGGAACAATAAAGCTCTAGAAGTGACTCAAAACTCGGTCTTCCGTTTTTTTTTAATCTCTGCCGACGAGAATCTGTAGTAAAAGAATACACAAAAATATTTTGTTGAATTGCACTGATGTCGCTTAACTAGTGTGCTTTGGAAAGAGTTTGTATTGAATGAACTTGTTAAGTTAAACGTGAAGTGAGCGGTAAATTATGAAAATATCAATATTTTCTCGCACACGACCGCTAAAGAGCCCATTCGAAGAGCCTTGTTCTTTATTATCTCATAAGAAATTTACGGCATGCAGATTGAATATATGTGGCAGGCTGGCTTTTAAGCTTAAGGTGAAAACCACCATCAGAAAGGAGCTTATGATAATGTTTAATTTTTCTCACAAACTAGCCTGAAAAGCCACAATGCAGGAACTTGATTCATTATTAAGTTGTAAATAATTTTCGGCAAGGAGATTGAACATGTCAGGCAAGGGGGCTTTCGCGGGAATAGTGAAAAATTTTCCAGAAAAATTTCTGGGTGGTCGGGTTCTTCTAAATGTACCGCTGTGAACTATTAATGTGGTTTCCGGTTCCAGTAGTGTTTTATTTGTTTTTTTGCAATCTGTGACGCAAGGTACTGTAATTTTTTTTTTGTTCGCAAGTCTACTAGTGCCGAAATTCAGGATGATGAAATGCGAACTCAAGCACTGTGCTGTTCCGCGATGTGCTTCGAAATGAAGTGATCGCCGCGTAATCATTAATATGGCAAACTCGCATTTCATTTCAGGTGATTGCAAAGCTGAAAAAGGAAATAGCACCTTGAAGGACGGTGCGACTTCAGCAGTTCGAAACTGCGCTGACATGAGTGCGGCACGAAGGAAAACGGCTGGCGAACAACAGAAGAAAGCCGTGAAGCGCTTCTGTGTGCTCAGTGTAACTCTCACTGCCCGGCGCTCGCACCAACTTCGGCTATATGACCGCCCTTCCGAAAGCTATAGAGGAGCGTCATATCAGAACACGGAATTGAGCTCCCATTCCATCGATTCACGCAGAGAGGAAAGTGGTTCGACGAAAGGCCCTTGCCATGACTCCGCTTCCATGACTCAGGAATGTGCTGGGCATGGTTCGATACTTCGATGAACATTAGTATAGAGATGAGTGTTAAGCTAGTTTGTACGAGTTATTGAGCTGATGTACTTGATTAGCGCATGAGAGGATAGCGGGTAATTAAAAGAAAAACTCAGAAGGTCCTTTACCTTAATGAACATTATTTTAAAATAGAAAGGTGACGTGTACTGATCCTCCTCACCTTCTCACTCCCCTCCCCCTCCAAGAGCCTTCTACACCTCCCGTGCCTCCATTATCGGTGCACCTATCACCAAGCGGTGTTATGCGATGACGTAAAGTGCTAGCGTCACGTGATGTCACTTATTTCTAGTGACGTGAGATGTCATGAATATGTGATATAGCGGACTGATCACATGCTTTTTTTCGTTGCCCCTCCACGGTGGTCTAGTGGCTAAGGTACTCCGCTGCTGACCCGCAGGTCGCGGGATCGAATCCCGGCTGCGGCGGCTGCATTTCCGATGGAGGCGGAAATGTTGTAGGTCCGTGTGCTCAGATTTGAGTGCACGTTAAAAAACCCCAGGTGGTCAAAATTTCCGGAGCCCTCCACTACAGCGTCTGTCATAATAATATGGTGGTTTTTGGACGTTAAACCTCACAAATCAATCACAGGCTTTTTTGCATCACTCGCATTGATGTCGGCACTGACGGTTAGCTTTCGTTTTTGACGAGTAGTCTACGGCTTTGACTTTATTAACGAAACAAAAAGCGCTAAAGTTTGTGGGTGTCACTGTCTTGTCCGTCATATTCTTTAGCGATAATGATATCAGTCTCAAGTAACTCCATTAACGAGACACATATTTCTTCAACTCAATCGTATATATGGACATGTAAGATTGAAAGCGCACCATCCTTTTTTTTCTTATAAGACGGATGTATATGTCTTACGCGCAAGCTCCAACGGTTTACACAGCCCTGCCAAACACGTAACATTATTGCCCATTTGAACGCACCGACAGAAAGCAGCAATGTTCGTTTCAAATGAACAGTGCCTCTTGCGGTGACATCATGCTGATTATAAGCACCGAGGAGAGAAATGAGCCCATATTGTTTGCTCCTGAAGTACTGTTCCACAGTTTTATTTATTGCATATGTAATTTCGAACTAGTTTCTAGGCTGTTGATTAACGGATGACAATATGATCTCAGGTCCACAATAAATGCTTCGCGTTAGGAGATAGAAATTTGTAGTCATAATAAAATGTGATCGTATATTTTGTTGTGATTTTTTATTTCATTACAAGTGGCCTCTCTCAACGTTCCAATATAACACTAGTTGTGCGTAAAATCATTTCTGCACCCTGCCGCGGTGGTCTAGTGGCTAAGGTACTCGTCTGCTGAGCCACAGGTCGTGGTTTCGAATCCCGGCTGCGGCGGCTGCATTTCCGATGGAGGTGGAAATGTTGTAGGCCGTGTGCTCAGATTTGGGTGCACGTTAAAGAACTCCAGGTGGTCAAAATTTCCGGAGCCCTCCACTACAGCGTCTGTCATAATCATATGGTGGTTTTTGGACGTTAAACCCCACAAATCAATCACATGCTTTTTTGCATCACTCGCATTGATGTCGGCGCCGACGGTTAGCTTTCGTTTTTGACGAGTAGTCTACGGCTTTGACTTTATAACGAAACAAAAAGCGCTAAAGTTTGTGGGTGTCACTGTCTTGTCCGTCATATCTTTAGCGTAATGATATCAGTCTCAAGTAACTCCATTAACGAGACACATATTTCTTCAACTCAATCGTATATATGGACATGTAAGATTGAAAGCGCACCATCCTTTTTTTTCTTATAAGACGGATGTATATGTCTTACGCGCAAGCTCCAACGGTTTACACAGCCCTGCCAACACGTAACATTATTGCCCATTTGAACGCACCGACAGAAAGCAGCACTGTTCGTTTCAAATGAACAGTGCCTCTTGCGGTGACATCATGCTGATTATAAGCACTGAGGAGGGAATTGAGCCCATATTGTTTGCTCCTGGAGTACTGTTCCACAGTTTTTATTTATTGCATATGTAATTTCGAACTAGTTTCTAGGCTGTTGAATAACGGATGACAATCTGATCTCAGGTCCACAATAAATGCTTCGTGTTAGGAGTTAGAAAATTGTAGGCATAATAAAATGTGATCGTAAATTTTGTTGTGATTTTTTTATTTCATTACAAGTGGCCTCTCTCAACGTTCCAATATAACACTAGTTGTGCGTAAAATCATTTCTGCACCCTGCCGCGGTGGTCTAGTGGCTAAGGTACTCGTCTGCTGAGCCACAGGTCGTGGTTTCGAATCCCGGCTGCGGCGGCTGCATTTCCGATGGAGGTGGAAATGTTGTAGGCCCGTGTGCTCAGATCTGGGTGCACGTTAAAGAACTCCAGGTGGTCGAAATTTCCGGAGCCCTTCACTACGGCGTCTCTCATAATCATATGGTGGTTTTAGAACGTTAAACACCACAATCAATCAAATCATTTCTGCAACCGTATATATGGTCTCTGTGGTATCTTTACAAAATTAATTTACTGCTGAACGTTATGACCCAACCTAACCTCGTCCTGCCGCGTACATTTTTGCACTATTTTGTTTAAAAGAAATTGTCAATAACATGGTGAAAAACCAAAGTAAAATGTGCGTCATAATGTCATGGGTGAATGCAAATCGCATGACTTATCCTGCCTCTTCACTCAAGTGGTGTATAAGTGTCATGCGGTCGCATGAAACGATGGCCCTTGCCCAAAAACAATGGGGGCCATTTTTGTTATTGTTGAAAAGTGGGGTGTGGTAAGCTGATCCAAGGCCTGGTTTTACGCCCATTGAAAATGAAGCTTCGTATTTGACGAATAGAGTAGTTCAGTGCAGTATATAGGCGAAGGTGCCAATTAAACTGGTGTGACACGCACAACAAACCGTATTGTTCAAGCAGTACTTTTCATTAGGCCAGTAGGTTGATGTTTAATGGAAGGAGATGAACGGAAGAAGGGACATGGTGTTCGTCCATGTAATTTTTTGTGTTCGTCTTGGTGGCACCTTGTTCCTTCGGTTAAAGTATTGCTCAAGTTTAGGCACGAATGGATTTTCAAAAATAAGTGACTTCAAATACTGTAAAGCTGAATATATGTTTGTTGTCGTATACTCCATGAAGTTACACCCCTCCAAACTCGCACAAAATCACTACTGTGATGTTATTAGACTAAATATAGTAACTGAAGATATAGTATATTTTTTATACTAGTCCTTCACTGCATAAACCCGAATTGTCTTCCTCAACCCTTGCTCCTGCTCACGCAAAAGTGTGTCGCAATCACTTATTATTTGCAGTTAGCGCGACCTACGCCTTTAGGAAATAACGTACTAAAAAGAACAGATGTGGAAGCATAGCAGTTTCTTAGACACGAATAAAGAATAAAACAACGTTTTCCCGCGCAAACGTAGTTAGTGATAGTTCGGAAAGCTACCATATCCCCATGTCCCATGTACGACGCAAAATGCATCTCACAGACCTTGAATGGGAACTGTGTGTGTCTAAGAGGGCTCGTCGAATTCGTGGTATTCGCTAATGTTGTATGCGGCTGACTATATGCGATACTCTTACTGAGTGTCAACTAAATCCTCTGACCCCACAAGCCACCAACAGCCTCCGTGCTGTCCCCGACCCGGAAGTGCTCACGCCGAATGCTATAGCTACACACCTCGAATGAAGCGAGTTTACTCTCCTACGTAATCGTGCAGCCACGTTGAAGTATTCCGGCCACTCAGGGGTACCCTAACCACAGTACAAACAGTGCCTCTAGTTGACTGACGTAGGTCATGGCAAAAAAAAATATCTTGGCAAAAAAAAAAAAGAACGCTAGCTCCATGGTCATGGGAAGTTCATTAGCAAGCAATGGCAGCGCTTCGGCGCTTCTTTAGAAGAAACGGGCATATCTAATGACGCGGAAATTACGCACGGCTGGAGTTAGCGTAACTAACTTCGACTGTACGTCTTTGCGCAGAGACAAATACCAATAGCATTTTTTTTGCTTACGTTGTCTTTGTGTGCTCAGTTATGCAGCACCGTGGATAGTTGGGTTAATTTTTTGTTCATCATTTACTGAGCCCAAATAAAGCAAGGTACCTGTTCTCAACAAATAGCGATGCCAGCTCTGTTCCCTTTTTTTTCACAGTTGATTAATGAATAATACGAGATACCGTTATTGGCAATTGTACTTTATAGGACTAACGAAGTCTTGAAATAGTCTTTGGTGTCTGACTTAGGATTAAGTACTTTTAAACAGCCGAGTGCCATCTCAACCAATTACTACTTCGTCCTTAGACTCTCTTGAGCAGTGCTGTACACTCGCGTGACACTGCTGAGTCAACCATCTCGTTGAACCAGCAGTACCGAAAATCAACCATCTGGTTGGAGTTGGAAGGTTGACTTGATACAATATCAGTATATATATTTACGTTGTGCCAGTAACGCATGAGTAACTATCAGCTCTGCAATGTTCTATTGCATACTCGCAGCATGGTCTTTTCAATTCGTACAATAATAAATAGGGCTGAAGTGAATCCTTTGGCGTGTTCGTACTTCTCGTAAACAAAACAGGGAAAAGACGAAGCACAAAAAAAAACAAACAAAAACAACAGGAGTACACGAACAACAGCGTGGACTTGCAATGTTAATTCAACACCGTGCAATATAGAGTTGGGCAGTCCTGAGCAAAAAAAAAAAGAAGAAACATTGAAATATAATGATAAAAACAACTGTAGAAAGAACGAAATATATCACCCCCATTACTGAAAAAAAAACAAATTATATGCCTTATCACTGCTAACCATATACATTGCTAATACAATTATCTGATATCTAATAAAAATTTTTGCCCGTCAAGTGACGACTAAGCCATGACTTTCTTTCGTTTAGGTCTGCAGAAAAAATATATATCACGGTGTTTACGAATTAACTTTCTTGAAAGTCAACGCTTCTATTTGTGCCCCCCTCCTTTTTACGGGGGGTGGGGCTCCATCTTTTGAGCTGTTTCGTTTGCGAGATAAATAGGGCTGCCACGTCAACCGAATACGGCGCTCTTGAAGGAAAATAAACAATTTGAACTTGCTCCAGAGTGTTAAGACACGTGCTCAAGAAAATTTTCCTTT